GTCCCTCAGCTTGCCCACCAGAATTGGGTGGGACACTGTGTCGAAGGCCTTCTGGAAGTCCAAGAAGATGACATCGACCTTCTCCTTCCCATCTAAGCTCTTTGTTACCTGGTCATAGAAAGAGACCAGGTTAGTCAGGCAGGATTGGCCTTGCACGAATCCGTGTTGGTTACCCCTCAACATCACTTCCCCTGCAGGGGTCTTATAAATGTGGCCCTTGATTATTTTTTCAAAGACCTTCCCCCAGGATAGAAGTGTTGGGTTGTTTTAACCGAACAGGCTAAGCAATTTACACATAACATAACACCATATAAAGGATCACAGTGAAGGACCTGCTTATAATGGGTATAATATAATGTCTTTTTTTGATTAGGATTTTCTGAAGAAGTTTTCCTCGGATGAGTTCAGAATGTTTTGTTTGCGCAGCAATTACAGATCAGGTAAGGAAAAAGGCCATCTTTTCTATCAAGTCTTCCAAAATAGTGAGGGTCCAGTGGCACAGTGTGTTGGCTTTCCTACACTCAGGTGGAATAGAGTCTGGTCCCATTAGGTGTGTAGATGTGATTTTTGTATGCCGTTTGGGTACGTGAAGATCCATATTGAAACTGCTTTTGTAACACATCATTTGACCCTTGCAACTGAGTCAGAAAAAAATATTGAGGAGGAAGACCCACCCACCTTTTATATTAATTTTTTAGGAACTCAAGCATGGTGAAATAAACACCCAAGCAAGATTCTAAGTACACATAGATGCCTAATAGGTGAAATGAATCTGGCCTTTGGTGCCTAACAGCTTCAAATTCATGTTGAAGAGAGCTAGCATGCTGCAAGATATTTGTTCCAAGACTTGTTTAGGAAAAGCAGCCTGACTTCAGCCAACACTTACCTACATGTGCATGAGCTTTCCTGGATTGCTTCCTTAATTTTATAAATTATCACTTTTTCTGTGGTGGTCACTTATGATGTGTTTAGATCAAGATCAACAAAGTTTGGAGAGAGAACTGAGTGAAGTTTTGCTGCATATTCATATAGCTGTATGACTGGAACTTGGCATCCTTTTTTTATTTTAAATTACTATGGCTTTACATTTGTGGTCTATTTGGTTAATGGAAGATATTTAGTATTCAGAGGGTGCATCTACACATGCTATTAGGGTGAAGAAATAAACTCTGGCACAGTTTATGCTGGAGTTCATTTCTCCTGGGCGCAGTGTTTACACATATGCCTGGGACCACAGCATGTTGAGCCTGCAGTCCTAGGCTGGCAGGGGAGCTGGGGAGAGTCAACCCCAATCTCTGGGTGGTGGCGTCAGGCTAGCCACACTGTAGCATCCTTAAGCCCAAGCCAGCCCTCGTCACCATCTACATGCATATTGCAGTGGCATAAATTAGTCTACCATAGGACAGTGTTTGTCCTGGACAGTACTATTCTATGGCAGAGTTAGTTAATTTACTGTGCCCTAATATGGGCTCACGTGTAGATGGTGATGCTGTACTGCGGAGCTGATTAGTCAGTTCCGTAGTAAAGCGCGTGTGTAGATGCACCGGGAGGTTGCATGCCATTGAGCACATGTGTACATGTGGTTTGCGGCACCTCAAAACAATTTGAGGCACCACAAACAGAATGTGGTACACATGCATCTATTCTCTGTGCTGCTAATTTGCTGTGTGGCAGTTTTTCTGACACTGGGAGATCCTGGTGTCAAAGAAGAACGTTGCTGAAAAAAGTGGCATGGTGCATGAAGCAGCAATTTGTAGTTTGTGCTACCAGAAAGGGAGCCTGGCCAGCCAGAGCCATGATGTGGCTTCCAACCAGGCTCCAAGCAGCTGGCTCAGCATCACTGATGCCCTGGGAGGCCCCCAGGACCCCAGGTAAGGCTGCTGGGGCCAGTACAGGTACTAGCACCAACTTCCCCTACCACACCTGGGTCACTTTGCCATGCACCAGAGTGCATGTTCAGGGCATGCCCTGGGCAAAATAGCAGTGGTGTAAATGTCCCATGGTAAACACACTCCCATGCACGTGTGTGCTTGTTGGGACGTGCCCAGAGAGTTTAATGGTGCAATAAAGCTCACTTGCATGAAAACCCAATAAACAATAAGCCATTTTAAATCAACAAGAGTGCTACATTTTTGGGGGTTTTTAAAGCATTTGTTTCTCTTTAATAGATTTTTTTACAGAATTGTAATAAGCAGTACTTTTTAACAAAGTACATCTTAATGCAGGCAGCAAGAGTGTTATGACCCATTCATGCTCCCTAAAATAGAACGGAGCTTTCATAACTCCAGTTGGGTCATACTGTCTATTCAGGCTGATAGTATTGTAATTGGGTGCCAGAGCCTGTTGACTGTGCACTATATTTGTAGTGTAATCTTTGTTAAGCAAGCTACTAGACATCCCAAATTAGCACCTCTAATGGGAAAATTGGGAGAGCTGAGGTAGTGAATGCCTTCTTATTTTATTAACAGATGCTGCTTTGTAACATGCTGTGAATTTTGTATGGATAAACAGTTCTGTGGCGTAGGTCTTTTGGCTGATTAATACCTCTAGCTCTTTGCTGGGCTGACTGAATGGATCTCTGCTCATAAAGGCTCTAGGAATGCTTCCTGTGCCTAAAATATTTTACCGAATGAGATGGAAAAAAAGAGTTGACTGGCTCTGTCGCAGCCCTCAATCACCATGGAAAAGGAGGAATACATTCTAGACAAATCTTGCTTGTTGAACAAGCCCCAAATGTAAGCAAAAGAACAGCTCTGTGTGGAAGGAGTGTTGCTTCTCTGGTTTGAGGCAGCAGGGATGGTTGCATGCTTGTCACCTCAGGGTCTCTGCACCTGTCAAAACACCAAATGAACATTGAACACAAGTGGCTCTCCAGCATGTACCTTGGGGCACTTGCGGCCCTGCACAAACACATGTTTGTAAAAATTAATGGGAAGCTAAAATGCATAATACATGTGTATTCTGTAAACAAAGGCTCAATGGTGCTCAACTTCCAAGGCTGCCCCTGGGGCAAGGAGAAATGCTGACAGCTTTGTATTTGATGGTTGGTTAGTTAGTTGCATATCATTTTCTACAGCTTGATTGGGTTTTGTGCGTGGTTTTTTTTGTTCTTTTTTTCTCTTTACAGATTTAAAGACAAGGAGTCTGGGATCTTGTATAAAGTGTGTGTAATAATATAAAAATATCACATGTATCCAGTCTATAAATATAGCTTTATATACTATATATGTATAGTATATAAGTTATTTTTATCCTTTTTTTTAATTTTCATTTTGATAAGACAGAGGACCAGCCACACACACAGGTGGCTTTGATAAAAGGAAACAGTTTGTCATTGGCTGGAAGTGATTGGAGTAAATGAGAATCTTCTGTCACTAATCTGCAGAGCAGATAGGAAAACAATCTGAATGACTGTTCCTCTCACTACAAAATGGAGAGGTTAGGAAGGCAGGACCTGGTCTAGAACATGAGACCAGCCTGTCCAGTCATCTATCTGCTCATATATGTTTAATTCATTTTTACAGCTAACTTTTATTGCTTGGTTCCATTTTTTTTTTTGTAGTCTGCTTTTCCAAATTAATTTTGTTAGAACAGAGAAATCATGCTTGAGTTCAGTGTTTCTCAGAAAGTTTGGTTAGGGTTGTTGGGGAGCATATTTAGACTATTGTAGCTGTCTTTAAGACTGAATGTCCTGTGTCCTGCTGATTAGAACATGGAGTTGGCCAGTGTAAGGGTCTGATGCTATATTTTTGAGCCCCTGAAAGATCTCAAAACTGTGGTAGGAGGATGGTGGCTGACAGTCCTGCTACTCAGGCAAAATGAAAATATATCCACTGAATGGACAAAGCTCTTCTGTGCAGGAGACAGTCATCTTCTCAGGGTCTTGAATACAAGTTGGAGAATCTGCCACAGTGTAAGGCAGGGGTGGGCAGTTATTTTGGCTGGAGGGTTGCTTAATGAATTCCGAGCTGTTGAGAGCCACAAGAGTAGTCCTATCCCTTAACAGGTGCCCTGTCCCCTGGCTGCCATCTTGGGACTAGAAGTCCTACCTCTAACCCCTGACCTTTGCCACTGGAAGTCCCTCCCCTTGTCTCCAAAAGTACTTCATTTGGGGGAGGAAGGGGGTTGCCATCTTGGAACTGTGAGGGGAAAAAAAAAACTAAATCATATACTAAAAATCAAACATCTACTGTAACATTTTAATTTTATTTAAAAAAATATTTTGTTCTCATTTTGTGTGTGTTTGCATAGTGTATATAGAGGCTATTACATAATAGCTCAAAATAAAGTCTTACTCTTGTATTGGGTGTGGCAGGGGCTGTGGTGGCATGTGAGAGGGTCCTTACATTCATTCTCTCTACCCCTGTGGTGCACAGCCATTGCTGTGCACCACAGGGGTGGAGGCAGCAGCAGCAGGCCCTTGGGGTACTTATGGTCCACAGCAGGCAGATCCCTCCAGCAGTGAACAGCTCCATCTGATTCCTGGGAGCTGCACATGGTGGCAAGGAGTAGGGCCAGGCCACTGCCACCTCCATTGCACAGGGATCCCTATAGCTCACGTGCAGCTTTTGGGACTTGGCTGCAAAAGGTTGTTAATATAGGCTTGAGAGAGCTCAGGAAGGGGGCCGTGCCCGTGGCTACAGAGGAAGGCAAGAAACCCTATGGTCTGTACCAATCTGACCATGGGGTCAAATTCCTTCCTGACCTCCATATATGGTATCAGTCTGAGCCTGACTGGAGGGGCAAGAACTGCTAGCCAGGAACCTTCAGGTTTGATTCCCAGCAAGAGCACCGGCAGACCCTGGTTACAATCCCCAGCCCTGGCTGCTGCCAATGCTCAGTGCCTCTGAGGAAGTTAAAAAAAAATCATGGCACATAGCAGAGGTAATGGAAGTTCCCTCCCAGCTCCATGAGGCAACCAGCAAAGACCAGAACCAGGGCGAAATCCACCTATGGCCAGATCATCCCTGATCAGTGGCTGTCCAACCTCTCCTTGAACCTCTCCAGTGATTTTAAGAGTCCACCAAGGGAGTGTATTCCACCATCTCATTGTTCTAAAAGTAAAGACATTTTTCCTGAGATCTAATCTCAACCTACGTTGGTGCACCTTCAAGCTAGCATGAAAAGAGAATGCAGCCCTGTGTGCGTCAAAAGGGAGGGATGGAATGCAAGAATAGAGGGCCGGAGGCCACGGGCATGGAGATGAGCAGTTCCAGGCCCCCCCCGTTGCAGCCCTGGGCAGGCTGAGAGTCCAGTGAACCAGAGCCAGAGGGGGAGTGGGGAGACAGAACCGGGACAGGGCTGAGTTGCAAAGTGTAGTGATGAGGACTGGATGGGGGGGAAGCAGTGACACATGACTGCAGAGAGCATGTGCAGTGATGGTCCTTACAGGTGGTTTGGATGGGCCAGGTGTTCCAGGAGAACCTGGAGGGCCCCAAGGGAAGAAACAGTGAGGTCAGTCCTTGGCCATGGCAGCACCGTGGCAGGCAGGGCTGGCCCAGGATGACACCAGTTTGCTTCAGCTTCCATGCAGAATGCCTCTGCATCCCAAGTGGCTTTGTTGACTCACCCTCCTCACACCTAGACTGTCAGTGGCTGTGAAGGTGTCCTTGAGAGGGCAGGGAAGCAGCCTGGCACCAGGAATGGCCCCTGGAGCACTCAAGTAGATGCCTTCCCTGGACTGCTCCTCCATAGAGGAGGAAGTGGGAGGGAGGGAGGGAGGGAGAGAGATGGTTCAGGCCCCACATCACTTCCACCTGACCTGCGTGTACTGTCATTGGACCCTGGGTACTCATGCATGAGGATCGGATCCCAGGGCCACACGTCATCCACACTTGCTGGGGCTTGAGCAATCCTAGTGTAGAGCACACTGCCTTGTCTCTTGAGCTATACCTACTGTTGCCAGTGCTGGATGCAGTTTTAAAGTGATGGATGCTGTGTCTAAAACCCCATACTATTTGGAACCCAGTTATAAGGCATTGTCTCACTGGAGGCTCTGCTCTTGTTTCTTGACCTAAAATTCTTTAGGGGCCATAAGTGGCAAGATGTCTTCAATAGAGTGCCTGCATCTCTGGGACATGGTCGAACTGAGCTGGAACTTGGGAAAGCACAGTACAAGCCCAGTTTACTTGCTTCAGTTTTTGATTGCCCTTTGATGCTAAGAAGGAATTTGTGTTGTCACTGACAGTGCCTTGCAGTCTGTGGTATAATCCACAGGTGCCTTAATAGTAGAGGTGCACTGACTGAGATTTTGCTGGCCGATATTGATACCCAATATTTAAGGAGGTATATCGGTGTACGCTGATCCTATTTCTGATGCAGCTGCCTCCAGCTGGTAAGTCTGTTGTGGGGGGGAGGCAGAGCAATGCCCCCTGCAGTGAGGGAGGGTGCAGGGGCAGGTGTTGCCCAGCCAGGGTGGCATGGGATGGAGCCATGGCTCGTGGGGGAAGAGGGAGGGGGGGCTGCAGTTGTTCAGTTGTGGGCTGGAGCTGCGTGGGGCTCTTCTCAGCGGGGGCTGGGCTTGGAGCAGGGGCCAGCAGCGCTGGGAGAATGCTGCCTCCACCCCAAATTTCACTGCCGCTCCGTCACCAGCCACCTGGCACAGCCCTGACTCAATGCCCCACCTCCACCTGGCTGTACGGGGTGGCTGGCGGCAGCAGCACTGGGAGCAGAAGGGTGGCAAAATTTGGGGTGGCTGCAGCATCCTCCCAGCATCCGCTCCGAGCCTAGCCGCCACTGAGAAGAGTTCTGCACAGCTGTGGCTCCAGCCCACAGCTGTTGCCCACTGACCCCAAGCAGATCCGGGGGCACATGCCCCTCTGCCCTCCCAGGGTGGAAGCAGCAGTGGGAGCTGCCCCCCTGCACCCCCCAAGAGCCACGGCTTTGTCCTATGCCTGCCCCTGCCCTCTCCATGACAGCGGAAGGCATTGATCTGCACCCCTCCCCCCTGCCCATGCCCCTTCCCTCCCTCCTCCCCTTCTGCCACAGCAGCCTTGCCAGCTGGTCCTCACTGCCTGAGTGCTGTGCTGCGGTTGTGCACAGCACCAGCCTTTATCGGCCAAATTATTGCCCCCATCAGGTTGATTGCCAATTTTCTTTGTATCAGTACCGATCTGATATCGGACCAATGTATCAGTGCACCTCTACTTGATAGTGATAGTAATAATGTGGGTCAGTGTAAAATTCATGGCACTGTACAGGAATAGCTTCAATCAATGTGGGCTTCAGTAGAGTACAGTACTAACAAGTATTTAGCTGAGAGCTCCTGTAACCAGGGGGATTAATTAGATAATCTTATTGGATAAAAATTGATGTCTAATTTCTTACTAGTTTTATAAAAATTACTAAGTATACTTTATTTTAAAGGCACAATCAAACTTCTGTTAATGCAACATGTGAGATGGATTTTAATTACTTTCACACTGAGAATCCCAGAGAGCTGAATTTTGACCTGTTTTTACAGGGGAAAATCCAGAGAAACTCCATTTTAAGCAGTTGGATAACTTTCTGGATTTATGCTGGAGTAAGTGAGAGCAGGATTTGCCTGTAGCTTTGACCACTGACCACTGTTTTAATTTCATTCTTTTGCACATGTTGTGTAGTTATTTAAGGAAGGGGGGGGGCGGGGGGTGTGTGTGTGTGTGTGTGTGTGTTCCCTTGCAACTGGCTGTTCTGTAGAGACACAAGAGTATGTCTGAGGCCAGATGTGAGATTACTGTGGAAACTGTAAGGTCAGACTCTGTTGATGTAGTTAGTGATACATTATAAACTATGCCGGCAGTAGCCAACCTGTGGCACAAGTGCCAGAAGTGGCATGGACAACTTGTGTGTGGCATGTGGCAGATCAGGAAGGGAGTAGGCTGCAGAGAAACAGAAAAGGCAGGGAGCAAAAAGCTAAGCAGCAGATCAGGCAGGGAGCATAAAATAGAGCAGCAGATAGGGCAGGGGAAAGAGGATCGGAGTGGCACTTAAGGAAGATTGTGGGACCCGTTTGTAGCACACCTGCCAAAAGACTGGTTCTGCTGAGCTACGCTTTGGATAGAAGTCAGTCCAGAAAACAGGCATTTATGGCATAGCAGTGTTATGTTCTGAGCATGCAGATTATGCAAGTGTCTCTGATTTGATGAGAGAGTAAATTTAAAATTCAGCCCTCCTGATGATGGGCACAGTTTACAGTGGATTTAACTTGGATGCATAGCACCTGCTTATTTCAGGGTTAAATTTGGCTCTGTTGGAAATGCAGCACCGTATGGTAGGGTGCACGTAGCTTCGTCTATTAAGACAATTAGCCACTACTGACAGCTGCTGTCTGTAATGGGTGCAGCTGGACTGCTGTTGTATAGTGCTTTTTCTGTGCAGTGCAGTCAATGACAAGCAGTTCTCAGAGCTATTTAGAAACAAGGGTTAAAGCCTGAGCCAACTAAAGCAAATATTTACTAGTAAGGTCTGACCCCAATTGCAGAGATTTGATTGGTACGTGTAGGCTAAAACTGGGACCCCGCCTACTGTGATAGCAAGCTTCAGAGCACATCTGGCATAATGAAGACGGAAGATGCCATTCTGCTTAATTGAACAGTTAATATAGATGCCTCTTTAAAGATGCATGACTCAGCAGGAGATGTGACAGTTCAGCATGGCTTTTTGTGGTGTATCCTTATTTTTTATGGTAATTATACATATGACTTGCTTAAATATTGTTGAATGTTTACAAGACGTAGAGATTCAATACATAAAAAGGTTGTGTTTTCCTATTTTTAAATCGGTTCGTCATTGTTTCAAATATTTTTCAAGTGTCCATTGGGCCATTCTATTTGCATTTCATTAGTGTAAGGCTTTTTACTTTAAATTACTGAATTACATGTATCTTATTTAATATTCTTGAAGGTTAAAGGTTTTAGTTAAGCTTATGTGTAACCTTAACAAAAGTTTTGTTTTGTCAGATAACTATTACAAGAAATGAGGGTTCTTTCTTTATTTCTTGTGGTAGCTCCTGTTAGGCAGCATCTTCTGCATTATAACATCTCCATGAAATTTTTATTTTCTTAGCAACTGAATTTAGTGATGAGAGCATGGATGATGCAAAGAACCTCCTTTGGGCAATTTCTTCTTTTATTAATGATGCAAATACTTATATAAAAGGACAGCTGGTGTGTGAGCCCATTAGAGAAGATGTATTGTGGGAGAGGTAAGTGTGCACAACATAATAGCTTGAAGATTCTAGTTGTATGAGCAGGGAGTTAAACTTTGAGCCATATTACATAGTGGTAAGAAGGTTAACAAAAAATTGCATCTGCTCAGGCTAAATAGGACAGAGAAACATTCTTTACATCTTCCTTTTCACTTTCTAGTTGTCCCTTTTTTCCCCTTCCTTTGTCCTGTTATAGCTTTTCTGCACAGTCTAGTCCAGTTTGTTACATGCTGTATTTTTTTTTTTTAGTGTAGTCTTACCTAGGTTGCTTGTGCCCATTTTTTCTGATCTAGCTTCCGCTTCCACTATTTAAAGCTGTAGAGCTTTCAGGGTATACACCACTGTACATTAATAAATTAAACAAAGGAGAAAGGGTAATTGGCGAATTGAATACAGTTAATACAAATAATCTGTAAAAGCGGAATATCAAACATTAAATTTCATGTCGTCAACTCCTGCGATGAATGGAGGTAGCGTTTAAGATTTCGACAGGCATAACTTTCAGCTTTCACACTGAAGCATGCAGTCTCCAGATCAGTGTAGCAGTTCGCATCATAGAACAGCTCAGAACAAAATGACAGTGTCATTTGATGACTCCCTGTGGCTGATTGCTGATGAATTCAATATATGGCTGGCATCTTGTTCATCTTATCTAAAACATTACATTTTCTTCTCGAAGGCTAGCCAACACAAAAGTGAATGTGAAGGCTGCATTTGCAGATGACTTCGACACCTCCAGGGCTGTTTCTGCAATTATGGACCTCATTCACCATGGCAACAGACAGCTTAAGGCTGTTACTAAGGTAACCCATTAGGATATGGAGTTCAGAAAATGACAGCTGTCCACAGCCCTACTGTTTAATACAGACAGATTAGTTTATTGTTCACATAAGAGACCAGCAGAAACAAAGCTCTGCAAAATGACAGTCTTGATGGCACACATTAGTCCATTATGCATCTATAAAATTTTGGGCTGCTGCTGCCTTATACTCCATGGCCAAAGCATGTTTCACTGCTGCTGTCCTGTGTCCATAAATAAGACTTTGGAAAGACCTGACGATGTTTCACTATGTCATGGATATTAATGCCTGTTGGATACAGTTGCATATTATCCTACTTCACCGTTAAAATACTGGGGATAGGTTGGTACGGATTTCTTTTATAAACAAAAAACCTTGGCCAGGACTTCTGGTGCGTGAGGTGGCAATTGTGGTTTATACTGTATCCATCTCATTCAGATTTCAGAACTCACCTTTGCTATGGGGAAATCAAGACCCTGCCCCACCCTCCACACTTCAAAACTATTAGTTGGCAATTCGAGGCCCCATTTCAGATTTGCTGATGCTGAAGCAGAGGAATATCTTGTTGGTTGGATGTAGCAGCTCAAGGATAAAAATGGAGCATAGGCATGAAATTGTATGTCCTGGGTCCTACCCCTTTTGGCTGACTCTGTCCTTCAGCTTTGGTAAATTACATAACTGCTCTGCTTTGTTGCCCAGCTGCTTAATTGACACAATTTCATGGTTTATTTGTACTGGGATAACTGGACTTGGAATATGGCAGTAGCTCACTTTGAGCCCAGAGGAAGGTAATCCCCAGGAGAGTCAAAGGGGGCAGGAGGGCATATAAGCCTCCATGGCTCACTAAAAACATCCGGGAATGTCTCCTTGCCAAAAAGGAGGCTTACTCCCAATGGAAAGGAGGGGTCATCACTAAGGAGGACTATTCTGCAGTTGCTCGGGGATGTAGGGGGATGGTTAGGAAGGCCAAGGCAGAGATGGAACAGGGGCTGGCTTCCCGGATTAAGGACAACAAGAAGTCCTTTTTTAAA